ATTTAGTTTTGTGAAAGTTAATTTCCACAATTTGAAAGCGTTGCTCTAGCGTTAAACGATTTATGTTGAATTGCCAAATCTTAATGAACAGAAATGGCAAAAAAGTTTGACATTCTCAACTGACAATCGATATTTCTCATGCAGCTAAAAAAATATCCGATATATCTTTTCATATATTCACATCATAAAGAGTTGCTACATAACATTGATTTCAGATTTAAAAAGAAAAGAAAGAAAAGAAAAAAGTTCATAATAGGGGAATATGTCTTGTATACTACGATATATATCAGTCTTATACACGACAATATTATACTTTTATCGATAAAAAGTGTTTGCGACTCGAGCAATATCATTACAAGGTAATAAAATTAAAAAAATAAAATAAAAATCGATGGATATTATTAGGAATACTTAATAACTATATAAGATTTAATTACTTTTATATTGTTATCATATAAATTATTATAACTTTCATTATAATATCAGTATAAATTCAACTTTACTCTCATTAATAAAATATCAGTTAAATTTTTTAAATAGTCCGGTTTTAATAACTCCACTTTTTCCTTTTTGAGCATAAAAATTGGTTTGGAACTTACAAAATTATTCTTACCAAAACGGATATATGCATCCAAAAGAAACTGAAAATATGTTTTAATTCCATACTGTCCGATAATAAACTAAATATATATTTGCGATTTGTATAGCTTAAATGCAACAAAAAATAATGATATTAAATGAAGTATGAAATAAAAGTTCTGAGTTAATTAAATTTATAATAAAAACATGGTAGCTATTGAATAAATAATGATCCATGAAGTTTCATATTAAATTAAGTTAGTTTTAGTTATATATATATAAATCTGTTTTTTGTTTATACGATTTTAAGTTAATCTGCGGTTGTTTCTATAATATATAGAGTTAGAGTGTAAAAACTAGAGGTGTTAAAAGGACAAAAATTTTTTATGTACGTTACGTTACATCCATGCTATATTTATTTTTTGTAAATCGTTTATGTGTAATCTGATTTTTCTATAGTGCTTTATTGTACAGCCTTCATACATAAAAGGTTAAATTAAAAAATTTAATTCGATGATAATAACTTATGAATGGGAATAATTAAACTTAAATTTCAGTAAATTCATTAAACCCAAACACCGCCACATTTTAATTTTAATTAACTTATTTTATTTATTTATTTTTGTTTTCTTTTTTATACATACAATGAAAAAAATTATTTTTTTGTGTAACACAAAATTAAATTTCATCTGCTAACGTTTTATGTATTTAAATTATTTTCAAAAATTTTACTTAAACTAATATTTTTTGTACATTGACAGTTTTTACTTTCACACACATTCGAATTTTCAGAACATTAAAGCATTTAATTATATTTTTAATTTATAATTTTCCATTCAGTAATTAATAAATACTCAACTTAGTATTTAATTTGCTTTATAATGTGTTGTTTATCTACTACAAATTTATTTGGACTTAGTAATATAAAAATCTTAGTCAGTAACTGACAAGAGCAATGAAATTAAACTAGTTGCAGATAATAATTCATTAAATTTTTTGAATCATTTCCGTACTTAAAAGTTATACTAAATAATATAGTATATAATAAAATTAAAAGAGTATTTCATTTAATAATTAGAGTATTTTACATAAATTATGTTTTTAAAAAAAAATTAAAAAAAATTTCTTAAGAGCTGAAGTATTTATGTTAGTTTAAAAAAATGTAATTTTTATTATTTTTGTTATAATTTTATTAATATTTTTTTAACTTTTTGTTTTTAAATTTTAGTCAACCTTAATAATTTACGAGAATTGATTTTTTTTGATCTGTTCATTTAGTACGTTATAAATATTCACTGTATTCAATATTTTAAACGTCTTATAAGAAGAGTATAAATATTTTTTATTTTCAAGAATATAATATACTCATATTTTATAAGATATCGGATTAACACATTTTTTACTAATATAATTTTGTTCTTATAAAAATCTAATAAAGATTGTCTTCTAAAGTTTAGTTTCATGGGTGTTTTTAAAAATTAAAAAACTGAAATCGACACAGAAAAATATTCAAAACAAAATACATAAAATGCATAAATAAATAATAATATTAAATATTAAATTTTAAATATATAAATTATGTAAAAAAGATTGTTAGAAAAATCTGTGATTTAACGTAAAAAAATCAATGTCAATCAGTATAGTTGGAATGCCCAGCCCCTAGCACTAGATATGTTTTAGTAATGACTCTCGCATTATAAAAATTTTAGTGAAATTGCCTGTTTTGTTGCACTTTATATATACCCATCGAAGGTGAACGAAGTTAATATATGCAATGTGCGAAGCAATACCTATCCATAAGCAATTATTATAAGTGAAAACACAAATAATTTGCGTTGAAATTCATATCCCAGCAAACAATTTTGGTGTCAAGAATTGTTTCAATTTTTTTAATTACAATTTCAGACTTATTAATAAGTGATATATTCTTTCCATAAATTCACTATATAAGTATTAAAAAATAATTGGAATCGCTGCAATGAAGTATTGAGATATTAAATTTTTTGCTTTTCCTTGTTTTATTGGACATATAACAAAAAGAGTTAACAATAGAATAACTAAACTAATTTCTAGGATCCTATTTCGTATGTGCATTAGCGCAGGGAATTCTAACAGCACATGTGTTGGCGACTCCTCATTCTCTTGACAGAATCTACAGTTTGCATCTGTAAGTATATCCAGTTTTATGAAGAACTATAGTTATGCAAAACATAATCAACAAAGCATCACATGTGGTTAAGAGTCTGTGGCAGATATTAACGCCTGTTACGAAGATTTCCAGTTAAAATAAGTTGAAACATATAATAACCTAAACAGGACTATATTCTAATTTAGGATGATGCCTTATAAAATAATCAACCGATTCACAAACGCTATGAACGTGTTAAAGAACATATTTTTTTGTAAAATAATAGAGAGACCCCAAAAGTAATCTACCAATCTATAATATAGTTCAATTCGTATAATTCTTATTCAATTCTTAAGAAATCTATTTGTGATATAATAAGAAACGATCGTATAGGAAAGCAATTACTGCAGGTTGACATTCATGCCAACTTTCATCAAATTGAAGTGACTAGACCATGTATCATTAACGCCCCATTTGGAATTGTCAAACGCATCCTGAAAAAATTTGAGGAAACTTATTCCTATTTATTTATTTATTTACTTTAGAAGTAGATTTCTTTTTTGAAAAAAATCAGTGTAAGAAGGGAGATGAGTTTATTCATAAAACCACTATCTGTACAAAATATAAAAGGACTTTTAAGTCAAAATTAAAAATTCGACAACAGATAATAAAAATATATGTTCAATATGCAAAAAAAAAAAAAATATATGTAAAAATTGGCAAATCAAACATTATAAAAATAAAATATTGTTAATTATATAAAGAGGTTTTTTTCGAACAGTAGTGAAATACAACAACAAAAATTTTATTTTTTATATTATTTTAATTAATTGAATTTTTGGGTGACCATTCAGCTGTTTCGCGTATTGTCAAATACTCACCATCAGTGGTCTTGCAAATAATTCTCGTATTTAATTATTCGTAAATAATTATTTTTGAGACTGCAAGTACCAGGAATCGAACTCGGGTCCTGCCAAATGTGAAACTCAGAATCAGCGCATCTTAACCAACTGATCCAAAGCAGTACTTGACTTTTTTCTTCGCATATTTTTCTGGAGTTTTGCTACTATTACTATGAAAATTCTTATTAACAATTTTACTTGCTGTGTTTATATTAGAACGAAATCATAAACCAGCTGTAGAATAATTAAATTAATTAATTAAATATATTTTTTTTTATATTTTTAATTGTTAAATTTCAATACTATTCTTTTTGTAGAGGCATTATTTGTTGCATGATTCGTTCTTTCTTAGGTATAGAACCTAATCTAGGAACGTAATGCTGAGAAAGTCATGCTAATGTTACTCCAGTAGTCGCACGGGCGAGACCAATATTTTGTGAATATAAGTTGTAATTTAACGTCAAATTTTCCAGACGAAAGTGACTATTATATTTTAATAGAAACTTATTATATTTCATAAAGAGGTTTTTCGAACAGTAGTGGAATACAACAACAAAAATTTTATTTTTTATATTATTTTAATTAATTGAATTTATGGCTCACCATACAGCTGTTTCGAGTATTGCCAAATACCCATCTTCATTGGTCTTGGAAAGAATTCT